TGCCATTCAATTTGTGAATGGTAATTTGAAGAGAATTCTCAGAAAGAGAAACAGCCGTTGGCTGAACACCTCCTTCCGAAGACGTTACACCACTGGTAGCATCCGAAGAGGCTGAACCGGAGCCAACCATGGCGGCCTTATAATTCATGATCAAACCCTAAGGCTCTGATACCATGTAGCGAAATATAGAGGGAGAGAAAGGAGAAAATATTTTCTTTGTTAAATTTTAAAACACATTGAGCATACAACATAAATAAGAAAAGATAGGAAAGGCTAACCCTAGAATCTCTCACAATCAGGGATTGACTAATTCTTTCCCTTAATCCTAGGATATGACTTTCCTAAATTTATTCAAATCTCTAACAATCAAATCCTAACTTTCCTAATTTACTGACAATATTAAATATTTTTTTTGTTATATAATATATTATTAGTTTGGACTTGGACTCGGCTCAGGTTTTTTTGAGAAATTTGTAAAAAGGCTACTTTCTTGGAAAAAGAATTACATTTCAAAATTCATAGAGGCATGGTATCTAGGGGGTTTAAGTAAGGCTGGAAAGGTTGCATGGAGCTTCATCCCTGCAGCAGCATTTTGGGCTATATGGAGTGAGAGAAATAGTAGAATTTTTGAAGGCAAACAGTCCTCAAAAGAAGAAGTCTTGGATAAAGTATTGGAGATGGTTCATTCATGGCTTGCAACTCATCCTTTGTTTTGGTTCAGACATTTTAGATCATTGATTTTATTTCCCTTTTGTAAGGAATGGAAAGTCTTTTGTTTTGGGGTCTCTGGTTGTAATGGGCAGAATTGTTCATCCTCTATTCAGCTTCTCTTTGTACAGGGGCTTCTTTGTATATGCTTTTTGATTTCAAAGAAATACTTTACCTTACAGTTTCAAAAAAAAAAAAATTACATTTCAAAAGTGGGGATGTTGACCTTGATTAACTCTACATTGTCTAATTTTCCAATATTCTTGTCAAATTTTCAGGCCCTGGTGAAAGTAGTGCAAAAATTGGATAAAGATTTGCATCACTTCTCCTAAATTTTCAGTCCTAGTAAATGGGCAGTCGGCTGGTTTCTTCAAGAGTTCTAGAGGTCTTCGGCAAGGAGACCCCCTCTCTCCTCTCCTTTTTATTTGTGTAATGGAAATATTATTAACAGCCTTTGTGAACCAGGTGGGAAATGAGGGCCTCTGGCATGGCTTTGAAACCACTCCGGGGGGAGAAAAAGTCCAATTGCTCCAATTTGCTGATGATACCCTCTGTTTCATTGATGCTGATGTGGAGCAGTTGGGAGTTTTTCTTGGGGTTCTTGCTGGTTTGAGGTAGTATCAGGCCTGAAAGTCAACTGAGCCAAGAGCAGGTTAATTTCAGTGGGAAAAGTAGATAATATAGAAAGATTTATCTGAAGTCCTTGCCTGTCAAATTGGTTTCCTGCCAACTATTTATCTTGGGCTCCCTCTGGGAGCTAAATGCACCTTATCCTTAGTGTGGGAACCTGTGCTGGAAAGGTTAGAAAGGAAGTTGGCTTCATGGAAAACAAAATATCTCTCTTTAGGTGGTAGGATTACACTTCTAAAAAGTTTCTTATTAAATCTGCCCTCCTACTTTCTGTCTCTTTTCCCAATGCCAAGGCAAGTGGCCCAAAAAGTGGAAAAACTGCAGAGGAACTTCCTATGAAAAGGGTGGGAAGAGGAGAAGAAGATTCACTTGGTCAGCTGGGGTCAGGTTTGTGCCCCTAGACAAAAAGGAGGTCTGGGGGTCAGGAAAATGAAGGTCTTTAACAAGGCTTTTTCTGGGGAAATGGATCTGGAGATTTGGCTGAGAAAGAGGTAGTTGGTGGAGGAGCTTGATTGCAGCCAAATACAACACAGACTGTGGGGATTGGGTGACCACTACTGTGACCTCTCTGGGGTGCCATCTGGAAGAAAATCAGGGAAGTCTTCCCTTGGTAGGGGTCTTTAGCAGAGTTGTTTCCTCAGTTGTTCCAAATTGCAGAGAATGAAGATGTCATGGTGGCTGACTGCTGTGAGGTTCGAGACAACATCCATGTCTGGTGTCCTTTCAGAAGAAGTTTTCAGGATTGGGAACTGGACCTCGTGTCAAATCTGCTGGGGTTGTTGTCCAACCAGAACCTGAACTTGCTTGAAGATGACACCTGGAACTGGAATTGTAATAGTGATGGCGTGTTCTCTGTTAACTCCTTCGCCAGGAATCTTGCATGTGGTCTTCAAGCTGATTTTCCTGCTGAAAAAGTCTGGAATCTGGTTGTCCCTTCAAGGCAAACTGCCTTGCTCTGCGCTGTGGCTTTGAACAAGTGTCTCTCCAAAAGGAATCTGGTGAGGAGAGGTGTCAAAATCCGGGACCTGTCTTGTGTGCTCTACAATCAAGTGGAAGAAGATAGTAACCACTTATTTCTGCACTGTTCTGTTTCCACTACAATCTGGAACCACTTGTCCTCCTGGCATCTCCATTGGGTTATGCCAGCGACTGTTCTTGATCTCTTGTGGTCTTGGGAACAAAAAGGACTGTCCAAGGTAGCAAAAAGCGTTTGATCCTCCATTCCTGCAGCAGTAATTAATTCCATTTGGACTGAAAGAAACAGTAGAATCTTCCAGAACAAACACAGTGAAGTGGATCAACTAATTTCCTTTACTTTTGGGAAGATAGTCTCCTGGACTGCTGCTTTGAAAGGGGTTCAACCAAGGGTTTTGGGAGCCCAGCTGATTGATGGTGATGTTTAACTTGAAATGTATTCCTGGGTTATTGGCCTCGGATTTGTTTTTTGAGGGGCCCATTGTATTATGTAATCTGGTTCTATCTTAATAAATATTTACCTGACCTTTTTCAATAAAAAGTAGTGCAAAAATTGGAAAAGTTAATTAGAGGCTTTCTTTGGAATGCTGGAAACGACAAGGTCAGTCATTTTGTGAATTGGTCAGTGGTGTGTAAAACTATAGAAGATGGGGGTATGGTGATAGGCAGGTTGTCAGAAAAAAGACAAGGCTTTGTCAGATAAATGGTTGTGGAGATTTCCAAAGTAGAGGGAGGTTTTGTGGCATTTAGTAATAGAAAGCATTCATGATTGTACCCTAATGGATGCGACTTTCTCTGGAATTTGTTTAAGAGCTAATGCTAGAATACCGTGGAAAACAAGTCTTTACTTCCAACCTTTTTACGACACATAAGATTTGATGTCATTTCAGGACAAGGGGGTAAAATTTTGGGAGGACACTTGGTGGGGGATTCTCCTTTTTTTTCAATTGTTCCCCAAGAATTTACATGTTGTCAAATTTCAAAAACAGAAGCATTGCTGACTTTTGTTCTCTTAATGAAACTGGGTTTGTTTGGGACTTGGGTTGAAACTAATGAGATGATTCTCTTGATCAATTTACTTCAAGATATTGTCCTAACTCCATCGGGTGTTGATGAGAGGGTTTGGCTCCCGCCTGTTAAAGGCAGTTCCACTTCTTCCTTCTTATGGTCCTTGTCAATCAAGATGAAAACCTGTCTTTCCTTGCTAAAGAAATGTGGTCTCGCCTAATTCCCCCTAAAATAAAGGTTTTTTGTTGGGTTGCTTTTAAGAAAATCTTGAACACCTGTGATAGACTCTGAAGGAAGTGTAAAAATTGGTCTCTTTCTCCCCATGTTTGTGTTCTTTGCTGGAAGAATGGGGAGAGTACTAACCATCTTTCTTTTTTTGCAGTGCCCCTATGCTTCTCAGGTTTGGCAACATTTTTTCTCTTTGGTGGGAGAAGTGTGGACAGCACCCTCAGACGTGGACCTTGTAAGCCACATATAATGAGATGCTCTTCTTGAAGGAGGAAAATTTAATGGCAGTGTGTGAAGGGCAGTGTTGTGGGGTCTGTGGTGTGAAAGGAATGGTAGAATCTTTGAAGAAAAATACAATGAAGTAGAGGAGATGATTGAACTTACAGCTGTAAGGGTTGCACATTGGACTCAGATCAGCAATGATTTCAATGGGGTAAGTCTGAATGACCTGCTAAGATGTTGGAACATTATTGCAGGTTTTAATAACAGAGTACAACAAAGGGTGGTGGAATGGAGTCTACCTGGGAATTCTGGAGTGGGATGGGTGGTTAGGGACTTGGGTGGCAATGCATTTCTCAGTTATTCATGATCAGCTGGTTTTGGAATTTCTCTAAGGGCAGAATTGTTGGCTTTAATTCAATGCCTTAAACTGATTGTTTAGCAGGGGTTAATGAATATAGCAGTTGAGGGGGATTGCCAAACTGTCATTTCATGGATGAATTTTCAAGAACAAATACCTTGCCAATTTAGACCTTTGGTGAGATTGACTCACTCCTTGGGTGCCAGCTTGAACTTCTCATTCATCTGGGTACCCAGGAGTACAAATATGCTAGCTGATTCTTTGGCAAGGTTGGGGGTAGAAAAGGAATTTGGTTGGGGTTGCCTAGGGCCAGACTGTAACTTGTAAGGAGTTTTTTTTTTTTTTTTTTTCCCTTTCTTTGGGTTTTCTCTGCTGTACTGTTTCTTTTACTGTGTATAGGGTCTGTTGTAAGTTTGTCCACCTGCTATGGTTTTGAGCAGGGTGTCTCTTTCTCCTTAATGATATTTATTCCTGATGTTTATCAAAAAACATTTGGACTGTTGGCAGCCCTATATGTCTGTGCACATGCAATTATTGTGTGTGTGTGTGTGTGTTTACTTGGAAAACTTGAGCCAGATAATTCAAGAATAGCTCATCAATTGAACTGGAAAACAACCTGAGTATTTTCTAAAGTTGTTGTGTTTACATATCTACTGCCATGGTTAAGTGCGCCCATTTGCAAAGTATATATTTATGCTATTTATTCGTAGAATTGAAGTACCTTATTTAACCTTGAGATGTTTTTGTTCATGGTTCATTCAGAGTTTATTTGATTGTTCATGGTTCATTCAGAGTTTATTTGATTGCTAATCTTTAAGTTTATATATTGGAAACAAAAGTCTTACAATTATTATTTTTTGTCTGCTTGCAGATAGTGATAAGCCTGTGAAGGGATCTCTGAACAACAACCAACGGTTGGGGCCTGCTGGTCTTGCATTGCATTATGCAAACATTATTACTCAAATTGATACTCTTGTAAGTTTCTTTTCTTTTTCTTTTTTGTTGATGGAGATAACTGCTAAAAAATTTTATTGATGAAAGTAGAATAATACAAAGGTTGTCTTACACCCCTTAAATGGTTAGCCTTGGCTAACACCATTCTAGAAAACAAAAACATAACAGAGGACACAAATTTTACATTAATGGGCCCCAGAACATACTGTCTCTCATTGCCCCTAGTTTTTGTTAAACCATCTATGAGCCCATTTGCAGATTGTGGGATCCAATCCACTGCTGCTTGCAATTCCTCTGTTATTAATTTGATTTCTCAAACAACACATCTATATTTCCATGAGATCACATAAATTCCAGTTAGCCATCCAATTGCAACTCTTGATCTTCTTCAATGACCAGATTTCTAATGTTCATGGATTTTTCCCTTTTTGTGCCTTGGAGGATTGCCCAAGTTTCTGCCTTAATTGAGTCTCCACTCCCTATAGGGCCCGAGAACATTGCAATAATGTTTCCCATCCTCATTTCAGAACACTCTTTCAATGCCTGCCAAACCTGGATTTCCTAGACTGCATCCAATAAAATTTAGCTTTATGTGGATTGTTATAGGAAGAACCCATCTAGCTATGGGGGCTGATTTAGATGAAGACGAATCAGCCACCTGTTTCTAGTTTCTAATGAAATCATTTGTGGTAAATGGTGAGAATATATTCAATGTATTCACCCAGTGGACAACTTTCATAAAGATACTGTTGATGGTTTCCTCAACAAATCTCTTCTTGTTGCTAAATAGGCAGGCATTCTATCTGCCCATAACATCATAAAATAGCAGCTCCCATGCGCCTCCCAGCAGGAATCTAGTGAGGTGTTTAAACTCTTGATTAAGTTTCATAATTCATTTGCACACACATACCCCATAAGATGATCTAACCTCCCTCAACTCCCACCCAAACCTCACCACTTCATATTTCTCCACCACCACTCTCCTCTACAAAGAATGTCTCTGCTTCTCCAACCCAAACCTCTACAACCGTTTCACATTTCACAAGTAGTTCTTTATTAAAAGGTCTCACTCTTCTAAACCGCAAACTCCCCTCCCTCCTTGGGTCTACACCAGTGTTTAAAAATCGCAAGGTGCAAAAAATGCATAAGGGGCAATTTGTGCCCAAAGCACAAGGTGTAGAGTTTGAGCACCCTTTTCCATATTGAGCAGCTATTGGAAGGAAGAATGTCTTCCAAAGTCCAACCCTCCACTGGAGACACCAAATTTAGCATGTAGCAGCCTCCACCACATCCAACTTACCACCTGAAACCTCCATAACCATTTCCCAAGCAAAGCTGTATTGACTTTTCTAGAGATTTTTTTCTTTTTTGTGTGGTTGTGGTTGTGTTTTGTTTGGCTCACGCAACCAGTTTTCTAAAGGACATTTTCATTTTGTTGCTGGTTCTGGAACCACCAGAACATGGTTCCAGAACCACCAAAATCCTCATTTTTTGAACACTATGGAAGATAACCTTTTCAGCACAATCACATGGTTCAAAAAGAAGGCCGACATGTTCAAGTGATTCTGTGTAACTAGAGCCATATTCATATATCATATAAAATGTAATACATATTATATACATGTAAAAAAATGTATAATTATATACTTTATTGTATGTTTTTCACATATTATATATTATTTTTAATATTATGTGTTCTTAATGTATTATATATTATTGTTAACATATGATAAATAAATGGCCATATGATAATAGTTGAATGGTGATAGATGAATTGCTTCCATATATTGATGTATTACGTCCAAAAAAATGAATTATGAATGGAACACTGGTTGTGATAATATGTGATTCAAAACACAACAACAACCATGCATAGCAGAATGCCTATGATGGTTCAAAACCAGTATTTTTATTTTCAAAAAAGAGGTAGATTAGTTTTTGAACACAATCACCCTTTTTTTGAACCATGTTAATATTCTTCATGCAAAAACCATCTTTTGCCAGAATGCAAATCTGATCCCACTTCACCTCATGAATTTTCTTTTCCTCTTGCCACCCACACCAAAAGAAGTCCCTCTACAATTTGTCAATTATCTTAGCTACCTTCGATGGTATGGGGAACAAAGACAAATAACAGGAGGGAAGGTGGGCAAAAGAACTTTATTACAGCCACCCTACCACCCTTGGTTAAAGCCTTCCAAGAAAGCTTTTTCTCCATTCCTTAAAGTGCTGGGGTCCAAATTGCAAGAGATAAACACTTGGCTACTAAGTAATTTGGAGGTGGTCCACTTTGCATGGGAGCACCTCTGCCAAAATTTCCAACTCCTCCACTTGGCCAACAGGAATAAATGAGCTCCCTTATTGACCTTCAGACCAGAAACCAATTCAAGCCATATGAGAACTCTATTGATATTTTCTAATTGTGATTGGGAGGCCTCCAGAAAATAGTGTCATCAGCAAAGTCTATTACTTTACCTTCTCTCCGCTGGACTAATGCTAAAACCTTCTAATAATCCATTCTCAGCAGCTTTCAAAGAAAACTGAGTGAGCACCACCATTATGTAAATGAATAGAAGAGGGAAAGGGGGTCCCTTGGAGCTTTTGAAGAAGCTTGAAACCTGCCTATTTAGGATGTAGTGACACCCACCCACCCACCCACACCCCCCTTAACCCCAATGTTTTTAAACCGTTGTTGACCTGGATGTTTTTAAACCGTTCTAGGAGGAATCCATTCTTTTGTAAAAGAAGGTTGAATTGTCAAACAAACTGCTGACCTGGATGGTCTAACTTCTGAACTGTTCAACCCGGGCAATGTTTTTTTTGGTCAATAGCTGAACCAATTCATTAAAGGACTAAGTACAACAGAAAACTAGAGAAAAGGGAGGGAATAAGTTCTCTTAGCCCTCCCCACCAAAAATACTCAACTTACAACAGAGCCCAAAACATGTTACCCCTTCCCACCCCTTGTTTAGTAAGTACATCAGCAAAAGTATTAGCACTTCTATTCACCCACTGAAGCCTTCCATATTTTGTGTCAGCCATTTGAACCTCCTTTTTTCGTTAAACTCCAGAAACCATTTTCCTCTTGTTGCAGCCAATTAATCACCAGCTTAGAGTCTCCTTCAACAGTTAGCTTTCTAATATTTAGCTCCTTTTCCCCATGCACTCCTTCCAATACATCCATAACCTCTGCTATGAGTGAATCACATGTACCTATTGTCTCTGAAAACAAAGCAACACCTTTTTTTTCTTCTTCATCTCTGAAAACACCTCCAATGCCTGAAGGACCCGGGTTACCCTCACTGCTTCCATCAAAATTCAGAACCCCTCTGCTGGTGGAAACAACAGAGGCCTGGTTACAGCCTTAGTTGGAGCTGACTCAGCTACTTCCAATTTCTAAGCAAAGCATCTGTAGAGATACCCTCGAACAGCTCCAAAGATTTTGTCCACTGCATCAGTTTGATGGTAATGACTTCAATTAGAGCTACTCTACTTCTCTCTTTTTCATAGAAAATCCTTAGATTTCTTTCTTCCCAAATTGTCCAGCATACAACCACTCTAATGCACCTCCAAAGTATCCAACCCCTCTTTGGCCACCTAACAAAAGAAGCAGCAAATGAACATTGTATATCCGGCAAGGGAATCCACCTACAACCATAGAGAGAAACCAATCCCAAATATACAAGACAAAAAGGCAGGGGATTAATAAGTGATAGCATGTCTCTCCATTAGACTTTCATATAATGCACCAATGTGGGGATAAACACCAATTAGGTCTTTTTCTTTGGAATAGCTTGCAATAGTTGAACCTTTCCCGAAATGCCTCTCAACAAAAGGCTGCAATCCTAGGTGAAATAGGTTTACCTCAGACTTCCTTAACTGGGAAAGGTTGCCCAAGAATATCAGAGGATTGAACTAGACTCTTAAAAAAGGAATCACAGGTAAAGGAGCCCGAGGGAAATAGGGTCCAAACACGACTATCCAATTTTAACTGGTCTAAGAATACCCCTTCCAAGATTTGTAGTAGGGCCATGACATTGTTTAATTTAGAGTCCCTAACCTGGAATTTGAAGGAACCAGAAAAGTGGAAACAAGCTCATTTTTTGAATTTGATATAGCAAACATGGATGGAAATTGTTCTTTCAATGCCAAGTCTCACACCCGAATATGCTCCCAGAAATTAACAAGATTACCAGAGCACAAATTGTACCCAACAAAACGAAGGATGGAAGGATGTCATGTACCTGACAAGATTACTGGACAACGGTTTATGGTTTAATAATAAGAAACTGAACTTTTTTTAACTAAAATAACAAAAGAGAGAAGGGTTGACTGGTTGGTGGGGGGAGAGAGGCAACCACCATGCTCCTTTCTTTCTTTCTCAGCCGCCCTTCTCACTCTCTCCTCCCTAATAATATGTATGTCTGGCCTATGTGTCTTTCCTAATCTGACCTAATATTCAAATCTAATGGTCAGGATGCAATATATAATGGAAATTGAGATAAACTGCATTGACGTGTTTGACCTGGACAGTTAAACCATAGACCTGGAAACTGGAGGAAAGAGTGGTTCCATTTCCGGGTTGGCTTTTAAAACCTTGCTTAACCCAATTTGGCAATTTCTCCACTTCTGGTTAAAATTCACCTTCAACTTGTAACAGATCACTTGTTCTAACTGGAGCTGTAGATGGTCTTATCTACACTTAACCAACCCATCTTAGTCTACTTTCCCTCATTTTATCATCTATTGGTCTTCTCTGCACATAACCAAACCTTTTGAACATTGTGATCTAGCGTGTCCAAAAGGTTATTATTTTTGTCGACTGAACTCATGAAATATATGTTTTGTATGCTTTGGTAAAATTGTGTGGTAGGACTTTTTCTAAGGAAACCCCTTAATGTGGTTAGGTATCTCGATCAAGTTCCGTGCCTTCGAATACAAGGGACACATTATACCAAGCACTGCCACCTAGTATAAAGTCAGCTTTGCGGTCCAAGTTACAGTCATTTCATCTCAAAGAAGAGGTATTTTGATTTCTTAGTATTATTGTTGAGATAACAATAAGTTGTTTTGTTCCCTGAGTTAGCCTAGAACATAACATTTCATATTACCAGATACTTATTATCCTTGACACTTTTTTAAACATTATTTGCAGCTCACTGTTCCACAAATAAAAGCTGAGATGGAGAAAACTTTGCAGTGGCTTGTTCCAATTGCTACTAATACAACCAAGTAAAGTGACCAGCCTTTTGCAAACACTTTTTAGTTGGCTTGTGTTATGTGATTTTTTTCTTTACATTTCATATTATTGTTTCTTTCGTTGGAGTATTAATCCTTTTATGTCTTGTTGCCACAATGTGGTTGAAAACAGAGCTCATCATGGTTTTGGTTGGGTTGGTGAGTGGGCAAATACAGGGTGAGTGAATTGGCAACAGTCAAATCTCTCTCTCTCTCTCTCTCTATCTATCTATCTATCTATATATATATATATATATATGAAAATAGGATTCTTCAAACCAATAAAGCTTACCATAATGCAAGCTGTTACATTGCATGCTTTCAGGTCTGAGGTGAACCGTAAGCCAGCTGGGCAGGCTGACTTGATCCGGATAGAGACACTGCACCATGCAGATAAGGAGAAGACTGAAGCTTATATACTTGATTTGGTAGTCTGGCTTAACCATCTTATCAGCCAGTCAAGGTCTGGCATCAACGGTGGCATCAGATCTCCCATTAAATCTCCAATTCGTTCTCCCACACAGAGGACAATTCTGCAAAGCACGCACAAGCCTAGTTCCCCATCACCCATGTTAACTGTTGAAGACCAGGAGATGCTGCGGGATGTGAATAAGAGGAAATTAACACCCGGAATAAGCAAAAGTCAGGAGTTTGACACAGCAAAGACCAGGTCGAAGCACAATAGGTTGAGCAAGAGTAGTAGCCACTCTCCAACAAGTGGAAATAAGACAGAATTATTCCCTATCAGGAGGCAATCCGCTGCTGTTCCTGTAATTGATTTTGACATAGACAGAATTAAAGCCTTGGATGTCATTGATAGAGTTGATACCCTTAGAAGTTTATAATATCTGTTGATATACATGAATCAGGCGGGGAGCATAAGGGCCTGCATGTATGTATCATATAAGGGTCCACCTGCTGAGTTGTCTGACTCCATGGATTCAATAGACATGGAGTGCGAGAACCCTACATCTGATGTGTTGGTTTGTTGGAAGAGCAAAATTATGTAAAGATGATTAGGATATCATGGTTGATCAAAGTGGATACATACTTCTGTATGCGATGATAAGGGATGAATCATGGGTAAATTTTGTTGTACAAGGGGTTTTTATTGTTATATTGTCCCAAATTCCAATAGCCTCAAACGGTAGGCCCATTGGGCCTATATGTACAGAACATGTGATCATTTTCCTAATAATTGAAGTCCACAATTTTCTTCTCCCCTCTTCCCCTGCCACTCAATTTTCTCCATTGTTTTCTTTTTCTTCCCAGTGAACTGACAGAGGCTCTTAGGTTTTACAGGTTATAGCATTACAAAGAAACAAGAAATTACACCAGAAGGATCAGTCTGATCTCAAGGTTGAGGTTTCTACTGGTTTTTGGATTTAGGAGCATGGCAATGTATACGGTATACCTACTGAATTGTGACATGTCAGGTCTATTCCACTGTTTAGATTAATATATACTGATATTGATCTAAATTCAATTTTATATGCTTAAAAAATACAATTTTATATTTTACTCATGCTGTAATATATAATTATAACATACTGCAAAATTTATATATTGATAGTTTGATACTTGTATAAATGTCTAAGAAATAAATATGTTGCATATTAAGTTGATTTGTAGGTCTATCTATCTTGCATGCTCAACTAAGTCTTGTCCCAACTATATAGAGTGAGCTGTATGACTCCTGTTCTACCATTCCACGCTATATTAAATTACAAATCTACTAGCTATTATATATATAAATTATTATTTGGCATTGGATGTATTTCGTACGTTAACCTGTAATGGTGGGTTTTTGTTTAGGGATTTTTGGACTGCAATCCCCCTAAGAAATCTGATTTGCAGCTCCCTCCTAGTCTACTAGTAGCCCTCTCCCCCCTTATAAATTGCATCCTGTCCGTGGATTTAGCATATCAAGATTCAGTCCACCCCTAGAGTGGAGCTCTAGATTTCTAGAGTGGATTTAACTGTAAAAATCCCTTTTGTTTATTATGAGGTAGCATGTAAAAAGGGGCCATGGTGCAATGGTAAAAGTAAAGTGTCAGATTGTAGGTTTGAGTCCAAGGCCCATTCATTTTTGGGAAGTTATTTATTGACTAGATGTACTTATCTTGGTAACTGTTTCTTAGGAACAATTTACCTAGTAAATGTGTTTTATTCATGTTCATTTATTTTTCAGGTATATAAGATAATGACCGTTTTAGTTATAAAAAAAACTATTATTAAAAATGCCAATTTTATTCCTTCAAAGTGTTGGCAACTTCTTCCTAGTGGAAAAGTTATTTAACCACCTGAGGATGGTTATCACTTATTCAGGCAAGTGATACACAGAATTGGATCTAACTAATAGTTTACAGAATTGGATCTAACTAATAGTTTTCAAAGGCACCATTACATTGATTACATGGAAGCACCATTACATTGATTACATGGAATTGGATCTAGCTAATAGTTTGAAATGATAATAAGTATGCTTGGGTAATTGTCCGCAGAGTATCCAAGTGATTATAAGTCCAATATTAAGAAAATCGAGGATGTATATGGTATATCGGGTTAGCTACATGGATCCTGCTTTTTTCCACCCTGTTCAGCGTCATATCAATTTTTGAATTATAAACACTTTGAATTATTTCTTACTACTAAAACTCATTTTTTTATCTTCCATACATCACCTTCAACTTCCTATAATTACAGTCACCCAAATCAGATTTGGCTAGAGAACTAAGCCAGTTTGAACAAGAACTAAAAAAAAAAAAATGTACTCCTGCATACCTTTCTTAGCTAGAAGGTGAGAAAAGAGTTACAGTTCCTTTTAATATAAAAGAAAGAAACATCAAGCCCATCAGCTATATCAAAAACATCTTCCAAAATAAACAAGACATCATGGCTAAAATTTGAATTTTGCATGTTTGCACACAAAATAAGGTTCAGGCAATTAAACTCCAGAACCACCTTAAAGAGCTCACAGCGCTGAGTTGGCAAGAGACCTTGTCTAATGGCATTGGCTTCTGCTTGAATGGCTGAAGAAGCACATGGACCAAAGTCACCAAACCATGCAGCTACACAAGATCCATTGCAATCTCTTATAATCGCTCCAAAAATAGCTTTATTAGGACTAACAAAGTAACAAAACCCCCATCTGTTTTCATCTTGATAACCCCGCAACTAGGAGGCTGCCAAAAAGAAGCATTAGGTCGACAATGGCTTCAAATTCTTGATCAATATCTTCACTTCACTGTTTATATAGGACAATAAAACTGAGGTAAACAGCAGCATTCTCAAAAATAAAAACATCTCTTGATTTCTAGATAAGCCATAAGGGAACTGACAAATGAACAAAAAGCTCAAACATTCTATTTTTAAGTTCACAGCGCTGAGCCAGCAAGAGACCTTGCCTAATGTCAATGGCTTCTGCTTGAATCGCCGAAGCAAATACACACAGACCAAACCATGCAACTACACAAGATCCATTGTAGTATCTTTCTCTTATAACTACTCCAAAACTAGCTTTATTAGGACTAACAAAGCTCCCATCTATGTTATTCTTGAACACCCTACAACTAAGAGGCTGCCGAAAAGAAGCATTAGGTTGAGCAATATCAGTTGGAGGAGAACCCGTCAACAATGGCTTTAAATTTTCGATAAATATCTTCACTACTCTGTTTATAGAGGACAATAAACACAGGTGAACAATCAGCATTACTTGATTATTAGATAAGCCACAAGGAAACTACTAATGCCGAAAGGCCTGTCCGTACTTTTCTGTAGAATTGAACAGTTTGAGAGAGAGAGAGAGAGAAGGGATGACTGGTCACCAATCCAGTTTTCTTTAGCCACCCTCTCACGCTCTAATAATGTATGATATCACAATCTAATATGGTCGGAAATCGAACTCAACCATTTTTTTGACTCAATGGATCTGAATGGTTGAACTGCTGTTCGGAGAATTAGAGGAAAAAATAGTTTCATTTCTGGTTTGATTTTTAAAACCTTATCAATATGTGACGCAGCGTGGACGCGATGAGAACCGGAGCTGGCTATGCAAGCATCGGGCGTTCGCTAGCACCTAGCGAATAACACCGATTTCTCTAGGAGAGAGAAAAGGTGGTGAAAATAGGAAGAAGAGAACTTGAAGAAATTCTGAAATCTGAAATATGAATTGATGAATAACTTTGGGAAAATATCAGTATTTATAACACATTTGGGAATTGTAAAAGRACTAGGAAAGAACATGAGTCTTGATCTTGATCTTGATCCTCTTGGGCTGTCTTGATAAGGTCGAACCCTCTTGGAATTCTTGGGCTTGATCTTCCACCGTCCGATCTCCCTGGCTCTCCTTATGCATGAATCTG